TAGGGAAAGGAGGTACTAAACAAAGATGGGCAAGTAAATTGAGTATAGTCCTGTGGAATTTGCCACAGTCTGGAAGTCTGTACTTTGACTGAATTGTCACTTTTACCTTACCATGTGACCATGGCGAGACACCCACTCTGAGTATCAGTATGCCCATCTCTGGAAGATAAGGTTGGATTCTATTGACATTTAAACCCTTACAGTTGTGATATTTTTAAATTCTGTGGAAAGCCCAAAGAGGCTAACTGGAGAAAAAACATGATTAAAGGAGAGGCAGCTTAAACTGGTAGCCATCAAGAACAATTTTAGGAGAGATCTAATGTCTTTGGTCTTGCCATTGCTTTTGTGAATGACTGAGACAAATTCTGCTTTCTCTCTCCATTTAAAGAAAGTCATCTGAGATGAACTTTATTCTTCTCATTCATAGATGAGGAACCTGAAGCTCAGGGATGCTCAGTCCTTTGTCTAATGTTTAGTTGGTAAATGACAGCCAGATTTCCAGTCCAGATCTGTCTGATTCCAAAGACTGTCTTCTTTGCCACTAAGCTGTAGCCTTCCCTACTTTAAGAGTCCTTGATACCAGAAAGGCTTACAGGAGTTTTGAGCTGAATGGGCCCTAGAAATCTTTCTGATCTAAGATACAAGAAATAGTCTTCCTTGTCTGGGGAATGTACTACAAGGGTCTTTACCATCCATTTTCCCTTCAGGGTACTGGCTGGTAGCTGGTTAAGGTTGGGGGTCCCGTTCAAGGATGGCTCTTCCCATGCCTGTTGTCCAAAGATACTAAGGGTGCTGGGTTCTACAGGTGCCTTATGCCATCTGGAACTGAAAAACTATGTCGAGGCTGTGAACTGGTGCGATGAGGGGCTGCAGATAGATGCCACAGAGAAGAAGCTTCTGGAAATGAGGGCCAAAGCAGACAAGTTGAAGGTTGGTGGCAAAATTAGCCAATTGGCATTTGCTAATTAGCCTTAATTAATTAATTAGCATTTCCCAGATTGTATCTTGGGTCATTGTAAACTTTTTCTTCTTTAAAACAAAACCCAGGGAATTCCCTGGCGATCCAGCGGTTAGGACTCGGCACCGAGGGCCACGGTTCAATCCCTGGTCAGGAACTAAGATCCCACAAGCCATGTGTGGGATCAGCCAAAACCACAACAACAACAAACAAAACCCAAAATCAGTCCCTACCCTTGGCACTCTGGAGGATACAGATAAGTAAACAAGCAAGTAAATAAATAATTATAATATGATAGAGGCAAGGAAGAATACATAGTACTTGATAAATTTATGACTATTATGATTTGAATAAATAGATTAGTGCCATAGTCTAGTCTGCACACTGAGTATAGCTGTTTAAAGAGAGGAGGGGAAAGGACAGTTAAACATTTAAGCAAAATCTTAAGCTTCTATAATACTGTGTAACTCCCAGCATTAAGACACCTATAACTTGCTCATGAAATGCTACATTTCTGGCACGTAACAGCAACAGTGATGATAAAATTAACTCTGTAGTCTGTAATAACAGACTGCCAACACTACCAAAAAAAAAAAAATCCAACATTTAGATAGCACTTGCTGTATGTATGTTCCAAGTGCTATTTAAAAATTTTTACTTACATGAATCCATCTGAACCACACACAGTCCTATAAGAGAGGCACTATTCTAATTCACCTTCCACTAGTGAGGTAGCTAAAGCAGAGAGATCAGGAAGTTGCCCAAGTCACACAACTGGTGAAGCTGGGCTTAAAGTCAGGCTGTTTGGCTCCACATTCTTAGTCCTGTGCATTATTGCCTCACAAGTCTGTTCAGTACAAATCCAGACTTGAGTTCTCTTGATTCCTGATATAGGTTCACTGCTTATACTATGGAATGGGAATTTTCAGTGCCAAGGGAGCCTAGAGCTGGCCCTGAACAGGGATAAGTTTTAGTCAGAGGTCATTTTGGTCATATCTACAAAAGTAGATATGTGTGGACCCACATGGCTCAATAACAGAATTCCGAGCCTAGGCAACTAGGGGTGGGCCAGAATTTCTAGAAGTGGTATACACAGGAGAGAAGATCTAGAGGGCTACTGTGGAAGGCCATCGCCGAGCTTATCTGCAGAAAAACCCTTGTTCGACCTGAATGAAAGCTTTTAGGTCCTGCAGCATAATTAAAGGGAGATTTCAGGGCCCAAAAGCCTGACATTAGGTATAGGTGACATTGCTTGCAGAGTATCAGGATTATACCCTTTTATCTGAGTATAAATTGATTTTGGATTCCCATGTGCTTGGTATATGTGAGCAATAGACCCATATGGTTATGTTAAGATCAGACAAAATAGACTTCAAGGCAATGACTGCTACCAGGGATAAAGCAAGGCATTTTGTTTTTAATGATGAAAGGGTCAGTTTATCAAGCATATTTAACAATTCTAAATGCGTATGTACCTAATAATAGAACTTCAAAATGTATGAAGCAAAAATTGACAACTCAAAGAAGGAAGAGACAAATGTATAAATAGGTAGAAATGTCAACATCCCTCTCTCAGAGTAACTGATAGACTTAAGTAGATAAAGAAATCAGTAAAGAGAAGTGATGTCAGCAAAAATAGCCAACTAAAGACCTGGAAAAGTTTTCTCCATAAAGTCCATGGAAAATGGACAAAAATGCTCAATCAACTTTTTCATAACTCTGAAATGAACGGAAGGCTTGCAGCACTCTGGGTAGTGTTTGTTCAAGAAAAATGGCTGAACCTCCGTAAGAACAGCAAGCTTTGTGGCATTTTTAACTTGCCCTATCCCCATCTCCTCCCTCCCTAGTTGCATAGTAGCCTTGAGAGCCAACAGCCCACAATCATGGTGAAAATGAGCAGCCTGGCAGCCACCAGAGGAGGCAGAACAGGATTAGAGCTCCTTCAAAGCCCCATTCCCAGAGGATTGTCATTATTTGACCATCTAGAAGATCCCACTTACAAGTTGTTTTTATTTGACACATCTTGAAGCTATCCCAGTAGGAAAAGCTTTTTCACAGAATGTTGGTGTAGGAGGCATTTGTTAAAAACGATTTGAGGCAGTTATTTAAGATTGCATCTGCCTGAGGCAGTGGAAAACCCCTGAGGCAAATAATAGGCTTACCAGAAAACTTAAAAGGAAAGGCTGGGGAATGAGATTCTGTAGGGGCTTTGAAAAGTTCCAACATATTCCTGGGAATCTAGAAGGTCACTTATGTGCTCTTGCTATGCATGTGCTCAGGAAAGATCTAAGAATGTCCTAAGCTCTAACCTCTGGCTGATTTGGAAGCTTTGTGCCAGCAGGAAATGAAGGCTAAGGCTGAATTGTTAACTGCTGGGGTGATTGATGAAGCCTTGTCCAAACATGCCTGCAGAGCCCCTTGGCAAAGACTGGGAGACTTTTTGGCTCCAGGCATTTAGGGAGATCTGTCCAGTCATTATCTCACCACTAAGCTAACTGGAGACTTTCGTAGTCCCATATAACAGAGAATACAGGCTTTACAGAATTAGTTCAGAAAAATCACTAAACAAACAATAGTGACAGCAACAACAAACACTGGGGAGGGGAGAGAGAGAATATGCTTTCCAGAGTCGCCACATTATATTATTTTAAATGTCCGGTTTTCAACAAAAAATTACAAGACATGCAAAGGATCAAAGTGTGGTCCATATCCAGGAAAAGAAATCAATAGAAACTGTCCCTGAGGAAGCCCAGACATGAGACTTAAAAGGTAAAAAACTTTCAACCAGCTATTTAAAATATGTTCTAAGAACTGCTGCCTGAAAAAAAATGCACAATCTAGAAGTTGAGAATTAAGTTTTATTCAGCAGACTTACTGAGGACTTAAGCCTGGGATACAGCCTCTCAGATAGCTCTGAAGGACTGTTCTGAGCAGGTAGGGGAGAAGCAAAGATAGGAAAAAAAAACCCATGTGGTCGAACACCAAAACACTACTGCTAATTAAAGAAACAGACATTTCAAGTTAATGAATTTAGTGCTTTTCTATATGGGGAGATGGGCTTATTGAAATTATTCCTTTGATATGCACGTTAACTATAGGACCAGTATTCTGGTTTTTTCCATGCTGAGCATCCCTTAGGATGCACCATCAGAGTGGCTGCAGTGGCTGATGGCTTGATAGCCACAAAATTCTTTGTTTACTGAAATGGCAGGTTACATTCTTTGTCCACAGTGCCTCCTCTTGATCATAAATTCGACCAGTGCTTGGGAGGCCTTTCATGACCATTTTCCCAGTGAGCTAGGAAGGCTCATTCCTAGATCAGGCAAAGAGCCTATTGGTAGGCTACTCAATGTGCTAATTTTGGATCAGGTCCTACTGATAATCTTAAATTCTCTGGATCGCCTGTCTTACCAGTCTGTTATCCAGGAAATGTTTTCCCTTGTTGCTTCTTCCCATATCTAGAGTTGCACTATTACAATTATTCTGTGTAGAGTTGTATATATGGTCAACTGCCTCAAGATGTTTAACCATCATTAATTTTGTTGGAGTCCTGGTTACACATTGGGTAATGCAAGAGACAACAATCTTATAAAACAGACAGGATATAAGTAATATAGCTAGTAAATTAATAAAGTTGTAGTGCAGCAAAGAGAGGCACAAGGTATAAATAATTTGAAAACAACAAGAGAGAGCAAGTTAAAATAATGGTTAGTGTAGGTAGTTGTAATATTGTCACAGTAAGCCATCAGGTCCACAGGGGACCCAGCTGGAGAAGCCAAATGCAGGAGGGATCAGGTAGAGAGAAAAAAATTAATGTTTCATCTTTGTTTACAAAGGTATACTTTCTCAATTTGTTGTAGGTCATGGTTGCCATAAGAGGAAAGCTTTTCTGGAAAGCCAAGATTAAAAGCTGGTATATTTCAGAAAAAGTCATAAAATTATAAATCATATTTATCAGTTCATTCAGTCCCATGTAATTAAGTCCTGTTGATCTAGATGGAGGCATTGGGTTTTCCATTAGAGTTTTGTAATTTCTTTTTTTTTTAAAATGCATTTATTTTATTTTATTTACTTTTGGCTGCGTTGGGTCTTCGTTGCTGCGCACAGGCTTTCTCTAGCTGCGGTGAACGGGGGCTACTCTTCACTGTGGTGAGCGGGCTTCTCACTGTGGTGGCTTCTCTTGTTGTAGAGCACGGGCTTTAGGTGCGTGGGCTTCAGTAGTTGTGGCTCACGGGCTCTAGAGCGCAGGCTCAGTAGCTGTGGAGCATGGGCTTAGTTGCTCCGCAGCATGTGGGATCTTCCCAGACCAGGGCTCGAACCCGTGTCCCCTGCGTTGGCAGGCAGATTCTTAACCACTGCGCCACTAGGGAAGCCCCTTTTGTAATTTCTTACCCATTTCAGTGGTATGATCTAAAAGTTATCAGAAATTAATATTTTTCAAAGTCCTTGTGAATCTTCTTGAAGATTTTCATTTTATAAAAGCATCAAAGTAAAACAGTGATTGTCTGTAAATGACAAAAGACTTAAAATGGCATGGTTAAAGATCGGATTACAATGTAATTGACAAGAAACTTGGTTATTTCTGTGACATACAACATTTTAAGATAATAATTAGAATTATGACTGATAACATAACAGGGCAATCAGATTTTTAGGAATTCCATATAAAATTTGGAATATCTATATTAACATTTACCCACACAGCATAATCTAAGAAGGTTTATCTCCAATCACTTGACAATGTTTTTCAAGTAATTTAACATACCAAATAAACCTAATTAGTTTAATATTTCTCTGAGATGCCTCAGGGTTCCTTTGAAGCTTCCCAGAGTTAGCTGGAGGTCAAAAGAACTTCAGTTAGAATTAGATATTTGGGAACTGTGTCAAGAATATCAAAAAGGTTTTAAAAGGTTTGACTTGGTCAAATAGGATCATAGGTCATTGTGAAATAATACTTATTCACTTAACCAAA